TAGGATTACAGGTGTGAGCCACTGCGCCCGGCCATATCTTCAAATATCTTAGTGGAGGGTCAAGCACTGAGGCTGGAACATATTTTTCTGACACTCAACAAACTGCATCTCTGCTTACAGACTGGTAATGACTAAGTGCTGAAGAAGATTTCTTATCCCTAGTGGCTTCCATTCCCTAAACTGAAATAATAGATCTGGAATTGAAGTAAATTCACAGTCCTTCAATATAGATGCAACATTGCTTTTTTCTCCCCCTTACTGGGATTCATGGAAAAATTCAGTATAAATTTACCTCTCTTGTTCCCACAGTTAAAAATCAAAATAATTCATTTTTGAGGGAAAAGGACTCAGTGATGCAATAAGGCCATGCTCTCCTGCGCCACTCTAGATTTCTATTGTACTATTTCTTAAAAAGAGAAAAAGTGATTGTAGTTTTTGAAACACAGACCGTTTTTTACATTTAGATGCTTAGATATTTTCTAAACCCTTCCCACATCAAATTTGTTCATCCCTTGAAATCACTTCTTCGCTAAATAACGGATTTGGGAAATGATATAAAACAAACCATTTACTACTTGCCCATAACTTCATTTATTAGACTTTTAGTGTACTGAGCACTGTAACAGGCCATAAGGAAGTTGAGAAACAAAACTAAGTAAAATATGTACCTTCTTTTTCTCTGTATCTCAGATGAATGGGAAAGACAGGTTGTATTTACAACAGAGTGGACAGCATCTCTAATGGAGCAGGTACACAGCAGGATGAGAACAGCATGATGGAAACAGTGGCTCCGGTGACTCAGAATGAATCCATAGTAGCATCAGTTGAGATGAGTCTTGTAGAATGAGAGATTTTACAGATGGCAAGTGGAGAAAGAATATATTAGACAGAGATGGCATGTTTCTAAAAACGTGGTTGTGAAAAGGTTTGTAGCAGGTGAAGAATGGGTATATTTTGTGGGTAGAATAGAAGGTGTATACTGGGGAGTGGCCCATGATGACACTGAATGAGGTTAAACCCAATCAGTAGGTCAAGTCTAAACTGGAAAAGATTCTTCATGCAATTCTAAGAAATTTGGGGCTTATTCTTTGAGCAATGGAATATCATTATAGAATTAAAACCAGAGAAGTGGCATGATAGCATGATTTGTTGATCGCTCTCTCTCTCTCTGTGTCTGTCTGATTTACTGTAATGTCAATACTTAGGATGCAGGAGGAGACCAGAACACAAGTAATTTGGGCCTAAGCCCAGACAATGGCAATGGTGATGCCAAGAACTCATTAGAAGGCAGAAATCACAGGAGCTAATGACTAAGTTGATTTTGGGGGAGAGGGCAAGGAAAAGAGCAGAGTACCATATGTCTTAGTTTTTTAACATACATAATTAGATACATGATGACATTATTAACAGAGAGAGAGAGAACATGGGGGGAAGGAGTAGCAGGTAGAAATGTCTGGAGATAGAAGTAAAGACTGAAGTATGCTGTGTAGGTGCCAAGTGAACTTTTGGGAGACACAAATAGGTCCAGTGAGCTTGCATATCAAGAAGGCATTGCTCTGATGAAAGAAGCCTAGACGATGCCAATATTTATTTATTTATGTATTACGTATTTATTTATTTATTTTGAGACAAGGTCTCTACTCTGTCTCCCAGGTTGGAGTGCAGTAGCACTATCACGGCTCACTGCAGCTTTGACCTCCTAGGCCTAAGTGATCCTCCCTCAGCCTCCCAAGTAGCTGGGGCCACAGACATGCATCACAATGCCCAGCTAATTTTTTTTCTTTTTTTGTAGAGACAGAGTCTCACTATGTTGCCCAGGCTGGTCTTGAACTCCTGAGCTCAAGTGACCCTCCCACCTTTGCCTCCCAAAGTGCTGGGATTACAGACATGAGCCACCATGCCCAGCAATGCCAACATTTACAATATGGCTTCAGAAAGAGGACGTAGCAAAGAGGACGTGAAAAAGGAGAAGATACACAAAAAGCTGGACAAAGGAAAGGAAGGAGGTGAATAGTATCAGCAGCTGATACTAGAGAAAAAGGAGCGTTAAGATTGAAGAGAGGACAATTCTCAGTATTCTAGTCATTACTTACCTTAGTGAGAGTGGTTGGGATAAAAATCAAATCGATTTGGATTGAGATATAAAAGGGAAATGTGGAGACAGCCCTCTTCGACTACTCTTTCAAGAAACTTAGCTGTGAGAAACAAGAGAGAGCATGCTGTCTAGAGATAGAGGGAAGCTGGAACAAGAATGGTGTTGTAAGGACAGATGGCATTTACCATGTCATTTGCCTTCTGAATAGCGACAATCAGAAACAGCAAGTAAAATACTAGGAAATTAGGGAAATGTCTTTCATTTAATGAAAAACCTAAAACTAAAAAATGAATGGAAGAGCTGTTTAAGAAGACGGATAGACAGGACCTGGGGATTGTTGGGTGGGAGAGTGAGGAAGGAGAAAGCTGGCATGATTTCCAGACTTACTAACTTGGACAAGCCGGTGAATGGCAGTGACAATAAGCAAGATCGGGGAAATAGGAAACTGAATGAATTTGGAGGAGAGAATGAATTTCATTTTTGACATGCTAAGGTTATATGGAAAGTTCAGGAGAAGTTTGGGAGGCAAAGGTGGAAGGGTCACTTGAGCTCAGGAGTTCGAGACCAGCCTGGGCAACATAGTGAGACCCTGTCTCTACAAAAAAGAAAAACTTAGGGGTCCTCAGCAAATCGGTATAGCTGACGTCACGGGAATGGAGAGGTTTTCCAGAGACAGTGTAAAGAGCACCTGAGCCCTAAGAACGCCAAAATATAAGCGGTCAATAGAGGGAAAAAAGAGCCGGAGAAAGGCACTTAGAGAGGCAAGAGAGGCACAGAAAGAACCAGATAAGAGAGTTATTGAAAACAACTATTGAGGAAGTTGAGCAGTTGGGAAAGATGACAAGGCTCATATGGGGTCATGGAGTGCGTGACCATAGTTAAGTGGCAGTAAAAGTGCCTAGAATCCAGCGGGTGTAGAATCTTATGGGCTGGGGGTTAGCCGGGCATCTAGGAGGAACCGAAAGCTGCATATGTGTGGACAGATGATGGTGCAGGTGCGGATGAGGAGGAAGCTGAGCCAGTTGCTGAAATCCGGAGATGTCGGGAAAAGAGCAGAGGCTCCCGTGCGGACTAGGAGCTGAGTCAGACAGAGAAATACAGGGCTTGGAGTCCCTGAAAGCCACAGGTATCTCCAGGCCCTAAAATTCGGGTAGCCCCGGCCTCGAGGTGATCCCCGTCCGAGCCCAGCGCCATTTCTGGGCCAGGGCGCCTGGGGTGCAGGAGCGATGGGCGAGGGTTCCTGAAGCTCGGCTGAGAGATGGGACCCGTGAGGCGTCCCGAGGGCCACCCCTCCACTCCCGGGGGAGTTCCTTCCTCCCGGCTCTGGGCACCAGCTGCGGGCCCCCTCCTGAGCCCCTGCCTCCCTACACCGCGTTCTTCCCTTCCGCACTGGTTTTGCGGGAACTCGCCCTTCCCAGCTAGGGCTCCGCCCCACTGGCGGGCGTGGGTTTCACTCGGAAGCTCTTTCCAGGATTCTGCGCCACTTGCATCCTGCGGGGTTGGACTGTGTCCGCAGAGGCTCCCCCATCCGCTCAGCCAACCCCGTGCTCCACCCGAGGGCTCCCGGGAGGACTGGGCTGGCAGCGGGGGTGGGGGTCGCAGGACGCCACGAGTAGGAGGTCCTGGGGGGAGGAGTCACCTTGATGTCCACTTCGGGGAGAGAAGGGTCAAGGGACACCTCATACACCCTAAAGAGACCATCTGTTAGTTCCCGGCACAGCGCCCTGTTTATTTCTGTCACCTCACCGGTCACCAGCTGTAATGTTGTTGAGGCTGTGGTTCACTCTCGACGTCCACTAGAATTAGTCTCCAGGAGATGGCAGCCGAGGCACACCGCGTTCCCCGCGCTGGACCAGTGTTAGAGGCGACGCGCTCAGGCCTTCTGTGCGGACCCGGAAGGAAGGTCAGGCCCAGGGGCCCGAAAGGAAGAGGCAGCAGCCGAGGATGGGCGCCCAGGATGAGGATCGCGCGCTGCATTGCGCTCGCCGGGGCTAAGGTTACTGGGAGACGTTGGTTTTAAGTATTTCAGCCATCCACAATGATTATTTTTAATAAAATTTTTATTTTGGAATAATTTTAGATTCACAGAAGAGGTGCAGAGATAATACAGGGAATTCTCATGTACTCCAGTACAGTTTCCCCAAGCGCTAACATCTTAACATTAGCAGGGTACATTTGTCAAAACTAGGGCACCAACATTGAGAGATTGCTACTAGCTGAACTACAGATTTCATTTGGATTTCACTAGTTTTTTAAGTTAATGTTAAAGTTAAAAAATAAGTATTTTTTAAATAGCAGAAAAAGGGGATTTAGTTTTACAATGGTAATTTATGAGCCATCAAAATGATCTTTTTGAGACAGGGTCTTGCTCTGTTGCCCAGGTTGGAGTGCAGTGGTGTGATCTTGGCTCACTGCAGTCTCAACCTCCTGGGCTCAAGCAATCCTCCCACCTCAGCCTCCTGAGTAGCTGGGACCATAGGTTTGCACCCCCATGCCCGGCTAAAATTTTGATCAAAATGATATTCTTGAGAAACTTCTTATTTATCAATATCATATCACCTTTATAAAGATTTTTTCATTTAATGATGGATACAAAATATATAATGATAACAAGTATCATGGATATTGCAAGTGATCAAGAATTATAAGGCATTCAGTTGAATAGCATAGCTCTTCTGAAATGTAAATGAAAGTCACATGAGACAAAATGTTAACATGATAAAAATAAAACACGTTATTCTCTCCAGCTGTACAGATATGACAGGATCATTAGAATGCATTATTTCAAGATCTATTTACTTATATTCAAATATGAAAAAGATTTAGACTACAAACTCATTTTTGTGAAAATTGTGCTTTTCCATCTCATGGTACATTTTTCACACTGTAAGATGGCCTTGTTTGTTGAGAGATACGTGGGATTTAGGGAGAGCATAATCTTCCATAAAAAAGAATGCTGTTGGTTTTATTGTGCCTGATGAAGAAGAGGAATGGGTGATTTGCATTGAATTCGATGGATGGGACTCTAATTCGTGACTCTATCTCACTCCCAGTGCCAGCTGCGGCTTCAGTACCTTGTTCATTTATTTCCACAAAAGCCTTATGGAAAACATTGGATAAAAATAGGTTTCTCGCTGAAGACATTCCTGAGAAATCAGCTTTGCTCTGGCTGAAAGCATCACTCATCCCCATACTGCTCAGGGTTGACTTGAGATCATAACTGTCTTCCAACTTGAACTTGGGAAGGTGTAGCTGCACTTCATACAACTCCATCATGTCTGCACTGGTCCACTCATTCAGCTTCTCATAGGTGATGTCCTTTTCCAGCTGCCCATTTGGAACCAAGAAAGAAAGAATTAGTAATTCCAAACTGGAATGAAAAACAGTAGTTGAGAGAGCTCCCTAGGAATTACATAGATGAATTATGATCACTCCCATTACTCAGGGTGACAACACACACACATCTGGATATCCTTTGGTTGTATAATGTTGACCTTCAAAATCTTTGTTCTGCAGATTAATTGCTATCCAGATATAGGAGAATTACAGTTTAATTCAAAATGGAAGTACTTCTGCTATAGTATACAAGACATCAACTATACACTTAAATACATCAATATAAATATACATTTAGATGTTATCTATACAAAGCATATACTCTAGTGCAAGTTGTAAGCCAAGGCACAAGAAAACCTGTTTGTCAACATGAGAGACAGCTCTTTGAAAACAAAATTTGGAATAAAATAACATGTCTATACTCTAATCAAAACAACGTGAGATTAATAATTATCAACTAAGTCAAAAAAGAAAGAAAAGATAAGAAAATCCCCCAAATCTCAAAAGTAATTATTTTATATTGAGTTTAAGGATGCTTTCCCTCTTCTTTATATTTTGAATTTTTAAAATAATAAATATATGTGTGTATATACTACATATGTATATATGTATATATTTGCTTTTTTAAATGACATGTTTGTTTTAATGCACATGCATTTTCTAAACTGAAGTTTTGGCTGTCAATGGCATACCTGTAAACCATTTACATTAATAACATGACAATACCTTCAGCTCAGGAAATTGCACTTCTAGGTTTTTATCTTAAAAGAGCTGATTCTAATGGTTATTTGTCCACACTGGTTTTATTTTTACTATTCTCTCCAGTTTCACAAATGTTATGACATAATTTGGAAATATTTTCTACATACTAGTAGGATCATGGAAACTTACAAGTATTAAGAGTCTGACACATGTGAAAAATTAGACAAGGTGCAAAGAAAGACAAGCCATCTGTTGCATGAGATTCATGTTCCGTTTAGTCATGCAAATTGCTCAGAAGCATAGTCTAACCAAAGTTGTGTCCAGATTAATAGAAATTTGGCTGGTAAACAGCTTAAATAATTCTTGAAGACAGTATTGATACAGACTTTTTCTCCTGAAGGTTGTTTACTTGATAAAAATGTTCAAAAAATAAGTTTTGGAAGGCAGCTTGATGTGTGTGTATACTAATGCAAATGACTAAGATATTAATCTCAAGTTACATAGGTCCTACCAGAGGGAAACCTAGACTGATTGAAAGATGGTTATGATCAATCCATACAGTTCTGTGACTGACAAGGTATATTTGCACCTGCTGTACATGTGGCTCTGTGTGTGATGACCCTGGGCTGGAGCTGTCTATGCCTTGCTTAGCCTTTCTGAGGAACGGTAATATTAACTTTATAGAGTGTTGTAAAGTTTAAATAATATTGTGAAGGTGAAGTGCCTAGGACTCAAGATACATTGGTGACTTTTCTCTATAGGAATTAAATAATAGGGAGACCATTCTTCTTGAGGACAATTGGGAGAAACCTTGGCCAACCAGTTCTTTTAGTAAACACTGGAAACACCCTCACATCGGACACACTGATGTTATTTACCTGTACCAGCCCATTAATGTCTTCTGGCAGTAGGATAAGCAGGCTGAGGTCACGGCTTTTGTAGTAGAGTTGAAGGCCCACTGCTTGTGGCTTTTCTATGTGAAAAATTTGAAGCTTTTTTTTCATAAACATCATTTGCACTGGTTTGCTTGTAGTCTAAAACAAAAAGGTAACAAGGTCATTGAAGAAGTATTCCACTAACTCCTTGATTCTCTACCATCATTGGCTCCCAGTTGGTGAAACTGGTGATCCTCTGCTAGATGCTGAATAAAGTTATCCAGACCTTCCTTTATGGAAATATCTATCCCACTGAAAAGTATCGCCAATAGCAGATATGTGAGTTTCTAACACGACTGTGGTATCCCCTATAAAACACAGCAACATGTATTAAATCAAACTCTTAATATATGCTCTTGTGTAAATTATGGAAATGCCAATAATTCAGAAACTGAGTAAGGCATATTTTACATGAAAATTTTTGAGGAAGTATTTTAGTATCATAAAAACTGACATTCACTAAGAGATTGCAAAGACAAGCAATAGATGAGCAGAAAATATTTGCAAAACATATACTTATAAGAGACAATAATAAAAACTCAACAAATAATACAAAACTCAACAATAATAAAACAAACAAGTCAGTTTTTTTTTAAATGGGCAAAAGATCTAAGAAACACCTCACCAGGAAGAGATACAACACATGAAAAATGCTCAGTCATATGTCATTAGGAGATTGTAAATTGCACAAGGCTATTAGAACGGCTAAAATATGAAACACTGACAACACCAAATGCTGATAAAGATATGGAGCAACAGGAACTGTCATTTACTGCTAGTGGGAATGCACAGTGACACAGTCACTTTGGAAAACAGTTAAGTGGGCAGTTTCCTACTAAGTTAACCTAGTCTTACCATACGATACAGCAATTGTGCTCCTAGGTATTTACTCAAATGTGTTAAAAACAGTGTCCACAGGAAAACTTGCCCACAGTGTAGTGTTTATAGCAGATTTATTTATTATTGCCAAAAAATTGGAAGGAACTAAGATGTGCTTCAATAGGTGAATGGATGACAAACCGTGGTACAATTGTACCATGAAATATTATTCAGCAATAAAACAAAAAGATCTACGAAGCTCTGGAAAGACATGGAGGAACCTTAAATTCATAGTGAATGGAGCCATCCTGAAAACACTACGTGCTGTATGATTCCAACTATGTGACATTCCAGAAAAACCAAAACTGTGCAATCAAAGATCAGTTATTGTCAGGAATTTAGGGGGAATGGATGAACAGGTGAAGCACAGGGCACTTTTAGGGCAGTGAAACTATTCGGAATGCTATTGTAATGGTGGCTACATGACACTGGGCATTTTCAAAACCCATAGAACTGTACGATATCAAGAGTGGACACATATGTAAACTATAGATTTTAGTTAATAATGATGTATCAATATTAGATCATTAATTAAAACAAATTTGCCACACTAATGCAAGATATTAATAATACGGGAAACTGTGTGTGTTGAAGGGGGGACATATGAGAGCCCTGTACTTTCTGCATATTTTTTTCTGTAAACCTAAAAATTCTCTAAAAAATAAGCTAATTTAAAAATAAGACCAACTGCCAAATAAAAGCGAAACAAACACCCCTGCAACTTAGATGTTGTAGGCATATGTTACTTTTCCATTCTATGTGTGGAACTGTCAATCACAAAGCCCCACCGTATGCTAAGGTGGTGGCCATATGACAAGGGCTGTTTACTGGGTGTACTCCAGCATACTGTGGTTGTTTCCAGAGAGAGCCCATGAATGGCCCCAACCAGAGCCTTCCTTGTGATCACTGTTTTAGAACTAATGGCAAACATTTTCTCTGTCTACTAGAGTTGTGAAGCTTGAAGGCTGAATATGAGGCAACCATATTCCCTGATCATAATTAGAGAATGAGAGTAGCAACTAGACAGAAAAAGAGAAAGAGACAGCATGAGAATGAACTGGGATTATGTATTGAGACTCTAAATACCCCCAAATCACTCACTCCTGGACTTCCCCGTTTTTTTGTTACCTAAGCTAATTCCAATGCAATTCCCATTTTGCCAGAGCTAGTTTGGAATACTTTTCTATCACTTGCAACTGAAAATTTCCAGTGAATATACAAACCCAGGTAACTATCCAGCTCACTTCTTGTTAACCTATTGGATTATGTGTTCAGTTCCTTCCCCATCCTCACCCCACTGATTGAGAAATGCCTATTGCACACATTCATTACAGCCATAGTTCCACAGCAGCACTGTTTGTGACCTATCCCTAGACTAAACAACTCTAACAAACCTTGGTCCACTAGTTCCTTTCCTAGGAATTTGGAATGGGATTTTCCAACTGGTCTGTAGAATGGAGAAGGTCCTATGGGTAGCTATGTTCCGTCATTGTGAATGGGGAAGCAGAGAAAGTTAGACTTCAACCTGAGAGAAGAATTATGGTAGAAACAGAGTTAGAAAAAATATAGGAAAAAATCCTGACAACATTTGAGTCCTTGTTTCCAATCAGGTCCCAAGGCCCAGCCGCACTGCAGCCCATTCATGAGAGTCAGATCTATAACCTTACATTAGTCTCCCTTTTTATTGCTTTTATTATGTAAGGGTAAGAATTTGGTAGAAGTTAGTACTGGTTTAGCAAGGCAGGTACAGAACTTACAGTGAGGACTCTTAGGTTCTTGTTCTGGACTGCTTCTAACTCAGGCTTGCCTCCAGTCACTTGGCTACACTGTATTTTTCTCACCTAGGAAATAAATGTGAAAACTACCCTACCCAGCTCACATGGGTAGCAAGGACTGAGTGATTGTATATTCAGAGAAGAACAAGGACAGGGGAATTTCATTGAATTCCCCATGGAACTGGAGGCTTTTAGCCCAGCCATCACTTCCCTAGTAAGAGCCATAGTTCACAAGAACATATAATCTAAAAGAAGAGTGAATTTATAAGAGAATCACTTTTACAATGCCATGTGAAAATCCAAACTGACCTTTATAAGGTTCCTACCTCGTTTATTCTAAAAGGCTTTTCTGTGGTGTTTTGCACTAAGAATTGATGTTCCCAGATTCCTTTAAAGTACAGGGCGTTCACCAGAATCATCCTGGTTGTGGAATCCACAGAGTCATCGGGTAGGAGATTCTGGATTTTACCTGTAAGAACAAAAGGCAGGTTGCAAATGACTTGTAGAAATATGTCCATTTTAACTAAAGACAACCAGGCTTCTATTTTTTCTGAAACTGTACAAGTTTCCTTTAAAAGTCCTGGTTTTTGATTTTCCAGAAATGGACAAGTACTATTCCTGTCCAGAATAGCTGCTGTGAATAAAGAGAGAAACACTGAAGAAATAATATGCTGAATGGTCAGTAAGCGTTATTCCACATAAAGTACAAATTTGCAGTTTAATTATAAAAAGTTCCCTCTAATATGAGTTCATTTGTACCCCTATTTTGAGGGGACTGAAATGCTTCCTTCTTTTTCACTTCCGTTTGTAGCCACAAGCGGTAAGCTGTTCTGATTAACATCTGAAAGGTTGTGCCAATGTTTTCCTGTTGCCCAAAATACTGCTGTGTGCAATTGCTTCGATCAGATTGTTATAGTTACAACTAAAACTGATATTTGACTATCAACCCCGAATACATTCTCTCCAAACTCTCTACTAAAGCACCTTGAAAGATTTATAAAAATATGTCGAATATAAATCTCTCAAATCAAGTATTATAGGTTTGCTCTAGAGGCACATGTTTGATAACTGAGGTAGATAGAACTGGATTGAGAACCTCGTGGCCAACCCACTTTCACTCTGCAACAGTCATTGCTTCCAGATCCTCTCAGCAAATGGGGCTAGAAAATGTACATATTATACACACATCTGTATCTATTTTTACATCTATCTATTGAATTATCTTTCTGCATATATATTGAAGAGTAGGGGGTCATATTGGTACTTTCAATTCCAATCTAATAACACAGGGTTCATTGTAGCCTGTTTAATAAAATAAGTCAAGAACTACTTTTAAACACATTTTCTAAAGTCCAATTTAAGTTGTTAGTCTCTTTATTTTCCTATGTTTTATAACTAGAATGATGTTGGGAAAACCTTGACATAAAATTCTCTTATTTTCCATATTTCCTTTTTACTCATGGTTGTTTTAAGAAGAATGCTAGGTGTCCAACTGAGATAATCATTTAGACAGTTTAAGTAAAAGCCATAATTATGTGGAAAATTAAGGAATTTTAGTTGGTTTTTTTTTGCTAAAGTTAAATATATCCAGTTATATTTTTTAATATAACTTTTATATTTTTTATATTTATATTTATTTTTATATTTTTTAATATAACGTTTTCTTTTTTTAAAGAAATCTAATGAAGTACTAAGCCATCCATTAGTGATATTTAACCCAACAATGAAACAGGGGAGTTAGAACAGTGTTCCCAAGGTGCTAGGAACTCCCAAGAAAAACTGGAAGCTTCCCATGCCCAGAAGGCAAGTTATAAACACAGCACATCAACGTCAGCCCAACAGTCACCATAGACAAGGTATTGTGATCTGTATTATAAACTAAGACTGGTAAAATGGGATCCTCACTCAAAGAGACACACAGAAAACCAAAAGGATTAAACAGTTAAGAAAATCCACCCTATGAGAGAGAAGCACCAACATCAACACGTACTAACAGGAAACAGAATTAATACAACAAAAAGACTTAAAAATAAGCAAAATTTACATATTCAGAGAAAGCTGATTGATTTCACTAATGAAAAAGGAATAACCAATAACCGTAAGTCTCGAAGGGAAAAGAAATAATTGTCAAAGCTGAACATACATAACTGTGGAATAAAACTCTTGAATAGACTGACTGCACAGTTGAATGAACATAGCTGGAGAAAAACCATGAGCTGGAAAAGGATAACAGAAGGGCAAAGAGATGAAAAGTAAGTATAAATGGAAAATCAAAACAGATAGGATAGATTGGGAAATTTCAAATTTGTTTATTGGAAGTACTGAAGGCAAGAAGGGACAGAATGAAAAGAAGAAAATCATGAAATAAATAATATACACAATTTCCTTTACCTGAAGACCTTTGTATTTAGATTTAAAATGATTGCCAGCAAAATTATAAAGTAAATAGATAAAAATAAAAAGAACCCTGCCTAGAACATAATGTTGAAACCTCAGAACACCAAAAAGAAAGAAAAATACTCTAAAATCTTCTAGGGAAGGTTCAGGGTACAGGTGTGTTGTTTTTATTAATGATACTGGATGCTGCTGTCTAAAGGAAAAATGAAGACCTTGGAGAAGACCTGTTGAAAGCTCAAGGAAAGAAGTTTCTTTGAGATGATTCAGGTAGAACCTAGTCATGCCAAACACCCTAGCAACTTTCCCTTAAGGACACATGGAACACTGCCTCGACAAAGTCCCTGAGTTCCTGAATAGCTAATTAATTCCTTATTTTATTCGATGTTGAATGCTTCCAAATGGCAGATATTTGTGTCCAAAATAGAAAATACAGAAGGATTACAGCTTTCTCCCTCTCTGGAAAATTCCATTTCTGAAGAGTAGAATGAGGAGGATCAGCTGGAGGAATGAAATCATGGGATGTGGCAAACAAGGCTCAGTGAAAGATTTGGACTGTGTCCACCATGAGCTTATTTTTTGGGACCTCTCATTTGACCAGCGGTATGATAACAGAGAATTTTTTAAAGTGTGAATGTCCCATACCGTGGCCATATAGTACTATAATCAGCAGTCTGCCCTTTCTTCCATAAAGTAAAAGATTATTTGCTCAGTTCTTCTTCAAAACCGAAACTTCTAGACTTATGCTGCCTAATATGGTGGCCACTAGATGCATGTCGCTACTTAAATTTAAATTAACTGAAACGAAATAAAGTTGAAAATTCAGTTCCTCAGTCACATTAGCCACATTTCAAATCACCTATGGTCACATGGGAATAGAAGCTACTCCACTGGACAGTGAAGATTTACGGCACATTTCCATCTTCATAGGAAGATCTTCTGGACAGCTCTGTAATCCAGACACCTGGATCTTGTCGTGTACCTTGAGTGCATCAGTCTAAGCTGGGGAAGCAAGGCAAGGACCAAGTCCTAAGAGCCGTGCTTATGTGGCATCAGACAACAGCTATCTTCTTGGCTCTAAAAGGCTTCGCTGGGATGCAAAACTAGCAGATTAGTTGCCCCAGCCTTCCTATCTGTAGGATCCCCACCTGACTTCCAAACAACATGACAGTCACCAGGCTAGGAATCTAAGACCTAACATTTTGTCCAACTCCAGCACTATTCTTACTCCTACTCCTGCTATGTTGAATTTGTGTTGCAGGTCACAACATACTTTTGCCTATGCAATCAAATGTAGTCTCACACAAGTTGCAAAAGTGCAAGTACTTAGTAAATGCTAGCTAATCTATAATTCTAAACAAAACAAACTTATTTTCAGATGAATGCAAATGAGGATGGAAGTTGAGTACCATGGTCACTCTTGCTTCACCACGGCTTTTGAGTCACGGGTTCAATGTAAAAGGAACTGAGCACTTAGGGCTGCCAATGTTATCAATTCATTCCAATAAATGTTAATGTTCTGAACAACTGCTATGAGCAGGCCTGTTATGTGTGACTAAAGCTGAAGGCAGAGTTATCGCACATGGAGTCCTTGAGTCTAGCAGAGGACGTAGATGTATAAGCAGTTAGCTTTGATAACAGTGTGGTAAGTGTCAAAGTAAAGGTTTGCACAAATGTCATGGGAGCAAAGAGGAGGATGTTTAGCCTGAATGAAGCCCTGAGAAGTTACTCGGGGTCAGAGGAGGGGTTGGGGTGGCAGGGCAGGGAAAGGTATTTCAGATAGAAGAAATAGCATGAGTACAGGGCCATTAAGTAGCACAGGGAGTTCGTGACACTCTGACATATAGAATCCCTGAAATATAAATTTTATTCCAGGGAGTGACAAGAGTTGAAGTGGAGAGACAAGCAAGGCTCCACAGGCACATTGGGCCTTATGTGTCTGGTTAGGGGCTTTGTGCTGATCCCGCAGGTCATGGGGCAGCATGAATCAGTTTTGAGTAGAGGGGTGACATGGCCTATCTGGTCTAATTTATATTTTAGGCAGGTAATTTGGGTGGTAAATGGAGGTTAGATTTGAAGGGAACAAGATTAGAGGCAAATTATTGGATCTGTGCAGATACAAGATAGCAAAGAGAGAAAGACTGTGGAGGAAGGGATTTGAAAGGAAGTGTGAACTCTGAGAAACACTTAAGAGGAAGCAAAGGAAAGGGGAGAATTTAGAATATCTCTCAGATTACTGTTCTGAGCAAGTGTGTGGTTGGTGTACCCATTCACCAAGATGCAGAATACATGAGGAAGACAAGGTATGGGAAAACCATTTTGAATGTGATTTCAGGTATGTTGAATTTGAAATGCATGGGACGCTTGACAATTATATCTAGCAGGTATTTGTTATGAGTCCTGAAGTTCAGGGGAGAAGACTGTGAAACATTCCATGTGCTTAGACACAAAGCAAAGGCATCATCATTAATGACAAATGATAAATTAATCTTCATTAAGTTATGAATGATGAATTAATCTTCATTAATGATGATGCCTTTGTATTTCTTCCTAAGACATAATAGAATATCAGTTGAAATGTTGATTTAAAAGGCAGCATGATGTGTAGAAATCAGTTCAGACTTTGGAACTAAGCTGACATATTTGAAATCCTATTTCTGAAACTTTAAACTGTGTAATCATAGATAATTTCTCTAAAATCTCAGCTTCCTTATTTCTAAAATAAGGATAATAATGAAAGACTGTTAAATTGCCTGGGAGAATCCGTCTACTATTTCCTTTTAGAAATAAAACCCTGAAATTTAGGTGACAAGTGGCAACCCAGCTGAAAACTCCATTTCGCAGGTCTTTCTTCCAGCAAGTATAGTGACTGGAATGTGGTTGGTCACTCTTGCCTGGAATTAGGGGCTTTTTGATCCTAAAACTAGGAAAGTCACAGGCAAACCAGAAGGTATTGGTCACCCTAGCAGAAAGTATGCCATGAACTACGTTTAGGCCAGTGGAATATGAGTGGAATTGACGTGTGAAACTTCTAGGGCATCCCCTTAAAGACAAGTCAGCTTTTGTTGAAATTTCTTTTCCCCACTTCCTGCTGCTAGTACAACTGGCTATTGTAAGAACCATCTTGCACCTAGAGATGGAAGCCATGTATTGAGGATGGCAGCGCTGAACACCAGCCTGGATCTCTGGATGGCCTTGGGAGACAGAATGCTCTCTCTAACCTAGGATGCCTAACTACCTTTGAACTATTATTTGAGAGAAAGACAAACTTGTGTCTTATTAAGCCACTATATTTTGGGTCTCTTCTTTAGAGTAGTTTAATCCATACTCTAACTGATACTTGAACATGAACTTATTTTCAAAAGTATTTAAGATTCTGTAGCACATTTAATGCCACATTTCTGTAGATATTTTTCCTTAAAAACCATGCATGCAGCAGTATTTTCAATTTCCTTTCTGCATTTTTCTGCTTATTACCCTTGGACTCTTCTTTGAAATTAGTGGGAGATGATAATTTTCTTGTCTATTTGGTAAAGTGATGACTTGACCTATGTGTTTTAAATAACACTTATTACTAGGCAGTGAATCCAAAAATTATGTACATGAATAGAAATAATGTTCTGAATATTTACAATGTGTCCACACTTCTATTTAAGGAATATACATACTTACACATGACACAAACTAAAATAAATACAAGGATGTTTGGGAAAAGCACGCTGCCAAGCCCCTTGGTGAAAGCTTACCCTCGGTCTGTCTTTCAACCCAAGAGTTGATCTCCTTTCTGATTTGGTCAGAAGCTTCCACAAAGTTAACAGACTGAGGCTCTGCACCAAAATATGTTTTCATGTCTTCTAAATATTTCTGAAAGACATAGATAAAATCCTCTTTTGTAGAGTTTGTTCAAAACTGAGAAATCAAATCTATTTAGATTATCAAAAGAACTAGGTAGGCGGGCAATTGCACACTCCCACATCATCACTCCATTTCCTCTTTCCTGACTCCCAGTTTTGGTCAAAAACTAAATACCTCCCTCTCCAAACTTAGCAGGGCACTGGCTAGCTATGCAAAGCTCCAGCTGTGGAAGGAAGTACTGATGCCCACATTTTGGGGGCTTCCACATCCTCTTCATTTCTATTTTTATCCATGCCTTGAAATGAGGCTAGAATGGAAAGGGACTACAAATAAAAAGAGTGACCCCAGTGGCCAAGAGGTATTGAGCATTGTACTTGACTTTCTATGGTAGGAATGCAACCAAAGTGAGGCTTGTGATACTAGTAGCTTCCTTCTGTGGATTCTAAACATCAAGAACTTTGTGGAGGGCCCGTGAAGAAAATGATATTCTGCCATGAAAATGGATTTGTAAGCAGAGTCGAATGTTATATTAGGCATTCTGAGGAAAAAAAAATAAATGAGACCTCTAACTCCTCCTGGTCCTCTGGTGTTCACGCAGTGGCAGTCATCACATGTAGGCTATGACTGAGGTTGCTCTTATGGGGGCACCAGCCTTGGGAACATAATTTATTCTTCAAGACCATGTAGTATTCCTTCAATTTGCTTACTTTATGGAGGGCTTATAGGGAGTAAAAAGTGGTGAGTTAATTCTGTTGCCAGGAAGTGGCTTGAAGATTATGAAGTCTAAATTCTGTGGAATTTAAAATCTAGTGGAAAGAAAACTTAAATATTTATGAGGGACCACTGCCTGTCTTAACTCAGGGCTTGTGGACATATAAAAATATGTTTGTCTCTATCTCTGTGTCCCTCTTGTTTCCAAGTGCCCACTGAGTCAATCATTTCTCCTACTTCTGAATTAAACCGGAGTCCATGAGCCTACGAGAAAGGAAACTGTCTTTAAGATTCCATTTGACTGGTTTTATATCCTTAGTAGTAACAAAGCTCAAGTCCTGAACACCCCAGAATTCACTAGATTTGAACAAGGATAGCATTGCTTGAAATCACAAGGTAGCTTTATTTTATCTTATTGCTATTCTTCTACCCTATCTAATTTCCTTACTCTTTGCCCACTGGACACGTGGGTCATCCTGCCCAAGGAGATGATGGACAAAGAAGTAAATTATTGATGTTGGTTGTCGTGTGACCCTCTTAACTGAGGACAGAGTCATCATGGTCTACATTGGTGGGATTTCAACCATTAGCAAAGAGAAGTTGATATTATTTCATGTTTCATGTTCCCAAAGTCTGTAAAGTCTTGATGTGAAAACTGCTTACTTCTCTCATCCCAAGATCAGTTTTGCTCCCAAGTAGACAGTCTCCAGCCAAGCCTCCATATGTATTTGTAGGCCATTCTCAGGGGTTACCTCTTTATTCTAGACAGAAATATCTGAGTGCTAGATCTGGTTTGATACCTGTTATTGGTTTCCTTTACCACTAGACACTGGTTGGTTGGTCTAATTGATTGTTTACAGGGAAGTACTGACCACATTAAGATTGTCCCTGATACTTGAACATGAACTTATTTTCAAAAGTATTTAAGATTCTATAGCACATTTAATGCCACATTTCTGTTATTAGTAGATATTTTTCCTTAAGAACCATGCATGCAGCAATATTTTCAATTTCCTTTTTGCATTTTTCTGCTTTTTACCCTTGGACTCTTCTTTGAAATTAGTGGGAGATGATAATTTTCTTATCTATTTGGTAAAGTGATGGCTTGACCTATGTGTTTTAGATAAGACTTATTACTCGGCATATTACTCAGCAGTGAATCTAAAAATTATGTACATGAATAGAAATAAATGTACAGAGTACATTTATTTGTATAGAAAGAAATATACAGAGTTTACTGATAGGTCTCACATTGCTTTCTTTTCCATTAGCTTAAAATAAGACATTTGCACTTACATTGTGAAATGGATACGTTTTCTCACCATATATCGCATTGGCTGTTTTAAGTAGGTAGTCATCGTTGGGCTTGAGGATTTCTGAGATAAGCGTATGGAAATCAGAGTGTATTTCTTCCGAGTTGCTCAAGTTGAATTCCTTTAAAATAGAAGGAATTCGTCAAATAAAAATGTTGAACAAGAGTTACGTACATGTTAGCAAATTAAAGCTAAATAAAATTATTTGGTAAATTGCAAACAAAAGTTGAAAATGATCCTAAAGTGGATAAAAATGTTTTCTTTAGTGTTAGTACAAAAGAATGAAATATTATTGAGGCCATAATTTTCTTCACATTTAGTTTGCAAAAGCAAGCAAGAAAAAATTTGAAACTAGAGAAATTTTTAAAGAGATTAAAAGGGTGTGGGGACAAGAGATCTTTCAAAAAGTGTAGACATTTTGTATTCCGAAAAAAAGTTTCTGTAACTTTAATATATGTTTCTAAGAAAAGTTACCTGATAAAAGTTGCTTAAATTATCACTAAAATACATGTGCTAAAAGTACTTTTTCCTTAATTATCAAATGTATATTAAAGGATAAGATATACCATTTTCCTTTTTTTTTCACTTTCAGGGCTGGATTTGACTCCCTGGTCTCTGTTAAATTGAAGCACCTGTAATTTCAATAAAAAGACAAATGAATAGACTGCAGAGAATTAATCATATAAATTACACATCATCTGTAAATACAAGTCAGTCATTCCTATAATTGCAGAACATATAATTAATTTAAAAAGGGGCTCTGACTTAACTTAAAAAATGTGTTTAATAAATAAGTCAAGAACTGCTTTTAACCACATTTTCTAAAGTCCAATTTAAGTTGCTAGTCTCTTTATTTTCCTATGTTTTATAACTAGAATGATGTTGGGAAAACCTTGACATAAAATTCTCTTATTTTCCATATTTCCTTTTTACTCATCGTTGTTTTAAGAAGAATGCTAGGTGTCCAACTGGGACAATCATTTAGACAGTTTCAGTAAAAGCCATAATTATGTGGAAAATTAAGGAATTTTAGTTGTTTGTTTTTTTTTTCTAGTTAAATGCTCAGTTCCTATGTCTACTACCACTTGACATATATAGGCACAATGTTTGTGTTCACCCCAGCATTTCATTGGAAAGTTAACAGGAAAGACGTAGATACCCTACTTTCCTTGGAATTGTACAACAGTAGAACAGAAGGAAATACTTTTATCTCCCATGCCCTGGACCCAGTTGACAATAAAAAATACAGTATATTGCATCAAGGGTTGCATTGATCTATGGTAATAAAACAAGGGCCACCTGCCATTAAAGGGGTGCACAGCTAATTCATGAGGCTCATTTGCAACTGGAAGTGTTAACATCTGAAACAAGGACAAGCAACATCCAGCCATATATTTACATAAAATAGACTCACACTGGAATCCATTTAAGATTGTCTATCACATTAATTATTAAGACTTTTGAGCTAATGAACCAATCATTAACAGGTTGTGAACAAGGATTTTGTTGTTGCTGTTGTACTTTTTAAACTACCTGATATCTTGTGAACCACAAGAGTAAGGATGATATCCCAAGTCCAGACTAATAGAGCATGTGTCCTGCCCACATCCTTCAGAATTACCAGCTGTGTTCATATCCATACTTTGCAAGGAAGTCACCTTCTTGGGTGAAAATTCTGTCACTTGGCCTTTTGGTTTTGCAAGATTTAGGGCCAAGTTTACTCTTTCTGTTTTTATTTTTATTTAAAAACACATTTTATATACATATTGTTGCATGTATGTATATGCATTCATATATATTTTTACACATATAGCTATTTTGCTATCTATGGCTATATATATGTTTATATACACACAGTGTTTTGAGGATGCTTATTGCAAAAATAGTTCTGTGTACAGTAGTATTATGTTGTTATTTTAATGATCTTAATGGGCTCCATTCAGATAACCAGGACTCCATTCAGATAACCAGGGACTAAACAAAGAGAATCAAACAAAGCGTGAGAAACAGAATTCTTCTATTTTTCTTTTTTGTGTATCCAAGAAAATCCTTACATGATTATAAAGATGCTGAATAATTCTGTTATTTAAAGTTTGACCGATTACTTTTTGAAATAATATCATCAAAATAAAATTGGTTTTGGTGTTGAACAAAAATTGATAACCTCATCCTTTCTCTGTTTTATTTTGCTAAAGGACACAGGTTCTCAAATGGTTTTCCCAGCAACAGTTTGAAAACTGATTCCCTTTACCAGGATTTATTTTATGGTATAGAATTTTTAAATGTCTGTCTTGTTTTAGAGAATGCTATTTTGAAATTTAAATTATTGAGTTGTCAAGAGAAAACTGAAGTTAAAAGGCAATGAAAGCACTTAGTTTACAAGAAACAGAAGATGGTTGACCTATTCCACTCACCTGGGCCATTTGGGCTGCAGTGGTGCCTTTTGTGCCCAAATACACCATGGCCAAGGAAGTTGAGATGCTCCAGGAAGAAAAGAAAATATTTTTACCCTGAGCAGATTCAGCTAGCTTTTTGCTCAACTCCAAGGCAAACTGGTTGATTGATGTTGCTAGAGTGTCCATTGAGGAAACCTAAGAAAAATAAAGCAAAAATTAGACAGCTTATGAATATTTCTTTCCACCTTTGAAAAAATATGTATTCATATTTGCATACATATCCATGTATGTAGTCGTAAGAGCTGAATAGACTTTAGCAAAATTCTAGTCTGATACTAGTATTTTATATATTAAAACACTGAAGTTTAGAGAATTTAAGGGAATTGCCTCAAATTTTAGTGTTAATGTACATTAGAGAATAAATGGATTCTGGTCAGTTAAAAGCTGAGTCCCATAACATAGTTTTTGCGACTCTTTTGACATTTTTCACACCACTAGTTTGGTTTCCATGTGTTTGTCTCTATTTTTTCCAACTCCAGCATAAGATTCTTGAGAGCAATATATTCTTCTTACGCTGCTTCATGCACCTAACAGCACCTAGCTAAGGATTTTGCACAAAATGGGTGCTTATAAATTTGTATTACTGATTTACAATATTCATGGTTTGGGCTGTAACTACCATTTTTAATTTATGTAAACATGGAATCATGCACAATTAATTGGAAAATGCTTGTAGAGAAGTTGAGAAGTTAAGACTGTTTGTCTTTATTCTCACTCATTTGAGACCCTCTGAAACTGGTCTTCTGGAACAAGAGTACTCAGGTTTCCTCATCTTTCTTGATATTATACTCAGCATTTAAATATCATCTCTAATGGAAGCAACCAAACAGCTGGCCAGCCTACCACACCTGCATGTACCTGGCCTGAAAACGACAGGTGCCCCAATCCACAGCAAATGTGCGCCACCTCCACTCCATCACAAACACTCACAGCCTAGACCACTGAGGCAACTGCAAACATCTTTGATGATGATTACAACTGAGGATACTGCATAGATATTATGCTACTGAGTCCACCCTAAACCAAAGCCAACATACCATACCCAACCGATACAACAATATTTTAATTTAAAAGCCTTTTAAAACTAGGTTTCTATAGTTAATTCCATCTATTTTGATTTTATGGCAAAATAATTTCTCAAATAGGTTAAATGATTTAACCAAGTGCTAAGAGAATCTGTTACTGCTAGACCAACCTTACAAGAAATCCTTAAGGAAGTTTTAAACATGGAAACAAAAGAATGATACCTGTTACTTAAGTACGTAGTGCACACACTTTATAAAGCAACCACTCAATAGAAACCACAAAGCAACCAGCTAATAACTTCATAATAGGATTGACACCTCACGTATCAATATTAACCTTGAATGTAAATGGGCTAAACACCCTATGTAAAAAACACAGAGTGTCAAGTTGGGTTATAAAACAAGACCCATTAATCTGCTATCTTTAAGAGACCCATCTCACATGTAATAACACCCATAGGCTCAAAGTAAATGGTTGGAGGAAGAGCTATCACACAAATTGAAAACAAAATAGAGCAGTGGGTGCTATTCTTATATCAGATGCAACAGGCTTTAAGCCAACAAAAGTAAAAAGTGACAAAGAAGGGTATTATATAATGGCAAAGGGTTCGATTCAACAAGAAGACTTTACTAAATGTATATGCACCCAACATTGGAGCTCCCAGATTCATAAGACAAGTACTCTTCAACCTACAAAAAGACTTAGATAGACACACGATAATAGTGGGGGACTTTAACACCCCATTGACAGCATTAGACAGATCATTGAGTCAGAAAACTAACAAAGAAAAACTTGAGCAACTGGACTTATTAATAAACATCTACAAAATACTCCCACCATCAACCACAGAATATACATTCTTCTCATCTGCATATGGAATATACTACAGGATTGATCACATGCTCAGCCATAAAGCAAGTCTCAACAAATTTTTAAAAACTGAATCCAGTAGCACATCAAAAAGTTAATTTACCACCATCAAGTAGGCTTTGTTCCTGGAGTACTATATTGGTTCAACATACACAAGTCAATAAATGTGATTCATCACACACTTAAAAACAAAAAACATCTGATCATCTCAATAGAGGTGGAGAAAGCTTTCAATAAAATCCAATGTCCGTTCATGATAAAAACCCTCAACAAACTAGGCGTTGAAGGAATATACCTCAAAATAATACTATACCAACTATACTCTCAGACCACAGTGCAATAAAAATAGAAATCAATGCCAAGAAGATTTCTCAAAACCACAGAATTACTTGGAAATTAAACAACTTGCTACTGAATTACTTTTTGGTAAACAATGAAATTATGGCAGAAATCAACATCTTTGAAATAGACACAGAGACATAGCATACCAAAGTCTCTAAGATGCAGCAAAAAGCAGTGTTAGGTGGAAAGTTTATAGCACTAAATGCCTACCTTAAAAAGTTAGAAATATTTCATATTGATTATCAAACATCAGACCTAGACAAACTAGAGAATAGAAAGAAAAACAAATTAACCCTAAAGCTTCCAAAAGAAAAAATCATAAGTAAAATCAGAACAAAACTGAATGAAATCGAGACCCAAAAATCCATACAAAGAATCAACAAAACAAAAAGTTGGTTTGTTGAAAGTATAAACATGATTGATAGACTGCAGGCTAGATTAACAAAGAAAAAAAGAGGAGATATAAATAAGCACAATCAGAAATAACAAAAGTGACATTACAACAGATCCCACAGAAATGCAAATGATCCTCAGAGACTACTATGACTACTGGTATGCACATAAACTAGAAAATCTAGAGAAAATGAATAAATTCCTGAAAACACACAACCTCTCAAAATTGAATTAGGAAAATGTTGAGACCCTGAACAGATCACTAACAAGTTTCAAAATTGAATCAATGATAAAATCCTACCAACAAAAAAATGCCCTGGAACAAGTAGATTCACAGCTGAATTCTACCGGGTGTACAAAGACAAGCTGACATCAATCCTGATGAAATAATTTCAAAAAATTGAAGAGGAGGGACTCCTCTCTAACTCATTCTACAAAGCCAGCATCATCCTGATACCAAAACTTGGCAAAGACACAACAGAAGAAACCTATAGGCAAATATCTGTGATGAATGTAGATGCCAAAATGCTCAACAAAATCCTAGCAAACTGAATCCAGTTGTATATTAAAAAGTTAATTTACCACCATCAAGTAGGCTTTGTTCCTGGAGTACTATATTGGTTCAACATACATAAGTCAATAAATGTGATTCACCACACACTTAAAAACAAAAAACATCTGATCATCTCAATAGAGGTGGAGAAAGCTTTCCATAAAATCCAATATCCATTCATGATAAAAACCCTCAACAAACTAGGTGTTGAAGGAATATACCTCAAAATAATAAGAGTTATCTGTCTGAGCAGGCAAAAGCTGGAAGCATTCCCCTTGAGCACTGGAACAAGACAAGGATGTCTACTCTTACCACTCCTATTCAACATAGTACTAGAAGTCCTGGCCAGAGCAATGAGACAAAGAAAGACATAAAAGGCCCCCGAATAGGAAAAGAGGAAGTCAAACTATCTCTCTTCATTGACAATGTAATTCTATACTTACAAAACCCTAAAGACTCCACCAAAAGCCTCCTGGAACCAAAAAATGGCTTCGGTAAAGTTTCAGAACACAAAACCAATGCACAAAAATCAAGAGCATTTCTATACACCAGTAACATTCAAACAGGGAGCCAACTCAAGACTACAATTCCATTTACGATAGTCAAAAATAAATAAATAAATAAATAAATAAATAAAATACCCAGGAATACACCTGATGAAGAAATGGAAAGATCTCTACAAAGTGAGCTAAAAAAAAACACTGCTAAAAAAATCATAAATAATACAAACAAATGGAAAAACATTCCACACTCGTGGACGGGAAAAATCAATATTGTTAAAATGACCATACTGCCCAAGGCAAACCTCAGATTAAATGCTATTTCTGTCAAACCACCAACATCATTTTTTCCGCAGAATTGGAAAAAACTATTCTAAATTTCATATGGACCCAGAAAAGAGCCCCAATATCCAAAGCAGCCCTAAGAAAAAAAGAACAAAGCTGGAAGCATCACATTACCCAACTTCAAACTATACTGTAAGCCTAGAGTAACCAAAACAGCCTGATGCTGGCACAAAAATAGACACATAGGCCAATGGAACAGAATAGAGAACCCAGAAATAAAGCTGCACACCTACAGACATCTTATCTTTAACAAAGTAAACAAAAACAAGGAATTAGGAAAGGACTCTCTATTCAATAAATGGTGCTGGGATAGTTGGTTAACCATATCCAGAAAAATGAAAGTAGACCCCACTTTTCAACATGTACAAAAATGAACTAAAGATGGACTAAAGACTTGAATGTCAGATCTCAGACTATCAGAACCCTAGAAAAAAAATCTAGGAAACACCATTTTGGATATCAGTGTTGGGGGAAGTATTCATGACTAAGTCTTCAAAAGCAATTACAACAAAAAACAAAGTGGGACCTAATTAAACTGAAGAGCTTCTGCACAGTAAAATAAACTATCAACAGAGTAAACAGACAACTACAGAATGGAAGAAAATATTTGCAAACTATTCAGCTGAAAAAAGTGTAATATCCATTATTTATAAGAAACTTAATTCAACAAGCAAAAAACACCCCATTAAAAAATGCCAAAGGACATAAACAGATACTTCTCAAAAGAAGATATACAAGTGGGCAACAAACATGAAAAATGCTCAACATCGTTAATTATTAGAGAAGTGCAAGTCAAAACCATAATGAATACTACCTCATATATGTCAGAATGGCTATTATTAAGAAGTCAAAAAACAAGGGACGCTGGTGAGGCTGTGGAGAAAAGGGTACACTGTTGATGGAAATGTAAATTAGATCAGCCACTATGGAAAGGAGTTTGGAGATTTCCCAAGGAACTTAGAACTACTCTTCAAATCAGCAATTCCATCACTGGATATACATTAAAAAGAAAATAAATCATTCTACCAAAGAGACACACACATATGTGTTCATCACAGCACTATTCGCAATAGCAAAGACATGAAATCAACCTAGGTGCCCATTAGTGTTGGATTGGATAACGAATAGATGGTACCTACACACCATGGAATACTGTGCACCCAAAAGAAGGAATTGAATTATGTACCTTTCTGCAACTTGGATGCCCTAGAGGCTGTTATCCTAAGCAAATTACGACAGGAACAAAATACCACATGTTCTCACTTATAAGTGGGAGATAAACATTGGATACTCATAGACATAAAGATGGCAAAAATAGACACTGGGGACTACTAGAGTGGGGAGGCAGAGGAAGGAGAAAAGATTGAAAAACTAACTCTTGGGTACTATGCTCACTACCTAGGTGATGGAATCAATCAAACCTCAACCTCAACATCACACTTTATACCCTTCTAACAAACCTGCATATGTACCCCCTGAGTCAAAAATAAAAACTGAAATTATTTAAAAAATAAAATAATTCCAATTATTAGGTAGGAAATCTCATTAATGCCAAGGTTGTGTAGAGTTAGGCCTTGCATGAGAAACCTAGAATGAGAGCTTTGGAAGACATTAGGAATTCTCTATACTCAAATAACTTAATCATGAGAGAGACATGTATAGACAAAGTTTTGATTTCATCATAACTCGGAGTTAATAGTGATACTGTGGGAATCCCTCCTAGCCATAAACTTACACTTACCCAAACAGCTTCCCTGCCTCTAAATCATGCCCTAGGTGTGGCTCCTGCCTACTCCAAAAGCTTATGATAATCCCAGGCTGACATGATTTGATTAAACAGTAAACAAAAAAGACTGTAGTTCTGTAGTAATTCTACACCCTCATAAAATATTGAATATTTGCCTGTGACTATTTCTTCCTCAACAGATCAAATGTCATCTTCAAAATAACTCTATACTTCCTTTAAGGCTCTTATTCATTCAACTAACAGTTTGTTACCTCCATACAGTATATATCAAGCTTTGTATTTTTAAAACTCATGAATTAAATTCGCATGGAAAGTGTTTGGTTCTTGGCCAAACCACACTCTTCATGAAGTGGGGAGAAAGTACCATTTTAGAGGCTGGGGTTTTTCTACCTCAGTTTATGGTTATTCTAGTGTTTATTTACTTGTAATGTGTGCCTGAAAACAATAATTCTCTATTATAAAAGCTAATTTCTCATGTAAACTTAATATTTAGTTGTATTCATCTTCATTAATTCCCTTATTAATATCATTATTTATATATCAGATGTTACCCAGAACATACAAGAGAAACAATTCTTTGTTTTCTTTTTTTAAAGAAATCTAATGAAGTACTAAGCCATCCATTAGTGAGATTTAACCCAACAATGAAAAATACTTTCTGAAGGGTGTAGAATTGTGAGATGAAATTTTACAGGAAATAATTATTCCATACAAATGTTGGACAATTATATTTTCAGAGAAGACTGCAAATGTGTAGGTCAGAAGTCTACCATGTCATTTTCAAAATTAATTGCTCTTTTGCAGTTTTCAAGATCTGTAAACTGATCATCTATGAGCTTAACCTGTAGACAGGCTCGGAGGAGAAGCCACAGAGAATGAAAAAAGCAAGAAAAAGATAGTGTCATTCATCAAAATGTCTCATCATAGACATTTCATCATCACATGCCCCTAGCATATCAGAGTTGGAAAGACCCTTGGAATCTCCCTAACCCAGTTCCCCCGTTTTGTCTGCTAAGAAACTGAAGCTGAGAGAGGCTGATTGAGCAAAGGATGCACAGCAGAGTCAAAACTGCAACTTCGTTCTCTTGACTCTGAATACACAGTTGCTTTTGCTATTGTATCTCATTGTGTTTAAGATTTTAGCGGCTAAAGAGAGAGATTATGTGATGGAGAACCATCAGGAGGAGAAAGAAGATCTGGAGAGTGGGGAGAAGGATTCTTGTCCCGTTTTCCAGGAGACACTCCCTAAGGCCTCTTGCCTTTCTGATGACAATGATAATATTACCTCCTCATGGAGTTGTGCGTATCAGAGAATGACAGCTTCCCTCAATCCCCAGCACCTCTCTATTCACCTAAGGCCTTTTTTAGAGATAGGTAATAGTTTGGGGTGGTTTATGAAGAGCGCCTAGTGTAATGTGGGGGATTCGGAACATTGGTTATTCCACAGAAGAGAAGAAAGCTAATGGCCCATGAAATGGTGGCCAGGAGAGGAGAGTGGGGTTTTGGGTTTGAGGGGGAACAGTTAAAGAGTCAAACCATGAGTTCCATATATTAATGACTAGGATCCAAATTCAGGGTGCCAAGCTCACATTTGCTAAAAGGTTGAAGGGTTTTGGCTCAACTGTCCTGAGAGAATATCCTATTTCTCTCTGCCTATGTTGACAGATACAGAAAAGTGACTGGAGGAAACTCCACTCCTCATTTCACAATGCCAGGTAAAACAACGAGCAAATTCCACTCCACGATTCCTAGAAAAACAATTTCTCTAACTTTTTTGGGGAATGAATGTTCTTTCTCCTGTATCCCTCTTTCTAGTACAAACTTCAAACCAGCTTAGGTTACTCTATGACTCATACAGAAAAATTCTTAAGGGATTGGGCCTTATCTATTATTTCTGGACTTTTTTGGGAGAAGGGGTCTTCATTATTTGTTACTTAGCTAAGCACTTCAACCAAGAAGAAAAACATAAATAAAATCATTAGCCAAAGAAATATTTACAATACCTGGTTTTCTTCCACTGGAGCAGAATTGGCAATTTGCTCCTGTAGTAAGAGATTGTGGCTGAAGAGTTGGGAAACTTTTAACTGAAGACATTAAAAAAAAAAAAAAAAAAAGTTAGCACCTCCCTGTTCTTAGCTCCACCCTTTGATTCAGTTTCACAAGCATGTATACTCTTTCTTTCAGGCTTATTTTAGCCAGAAGTTTCAATAAAAAGAGACAGTTAAGGATTTGCCTGAATTATTTAATTACTCACACTTTCCATCTCTGTACACATGTAGAGACCTGGATTCTGACAAATTATAACTCATCCTTTCTTGGCTTAATCCTTTCTCTAGTCTGCCAACAGAGAATATTTGGCATGGTTTTCCCTGGTAGTATTTTTTTTTTTATAAAACAAAAATAGAAAGCTTCGAATTAGTGGAATAATAATGATCAATGAAATTGAAAATATTACTGAATTATTTATTTATTTTTGTTGTGTTTGTTTTGTTTTTTCTAGAAATAGGGTCTCACTCTGTCACCCAGGCTGAAGTGCAGTGGTGCAATCATATTTCACAGCAGCTTCTAACTCCTGGGATCAACTGATCCTCCCACCTCTGGCCTCTCAAAGTGCTGGGATTTCAGGCATGACCCATCATGCCTGGCCTTTATTCTCTCAGTTATTATGTGAAAGGCACCCCGGAAGATTTTCTGTTCTCGTTTGTAGCATTGGTGTAGAACCCAGAGCATAACTCGAATGAGTGGGTTGTCTGCTCTCCCCACTAGCAGGGGCAAGGGTTTTGGATCAAAATTTTAGATACCATTATTGGGTCGGATGTTAGTTCATCATTTTCTGGTTCTCTTTTATTTTTCCCTAGGAATGCTTTTTCACTCCTTATTTATTACAAAAGAAAAATAACAGGCCATTTGTTTCATTTGCATGTGTATGGAGGAAGGGGTAGGGAGGTCATGGGGAGAGGGATTGGAACAGGAGGACATCTCCAGGAGGGATTAAGAGAAAGAAGGAGCCTCTCTATTTATAAAGTATTTGGTATATTTTTCTTCACGTAGTTCCTGTTTTTCTCTTCACAGAGGCACACTTATTTTCTGGCAAGATGGCTCAGAGTTTAATATTTGAATGTTGATGTGGAACCCAGGGCAGAATGTTACTCTGGATTTCACTAGGGAATGAGACGTGTGCTGGAAAGTTCCATGATGCCTGCCCAACTTTGCACTGAGCAGATATGATTATCCAAGGATGCCTCCAGGACTACTGTTAGACAAAAGCATCATATAGAGCCTCCAGAAAGGACTGCTCACCTTGACTGACAGCAGTCCACCACAGTGACTTGGGCTGCAACACCGCACAGCATGAAGACTTCCTTGTGTTGCTTGTGTTATAGTAAAGGCATCAATGAAGATTTTGCGGATTTGTGCAACAAATGGTTTCACCTTCCTTAAAGTCAAAGATTAAGTTTTATTCATTTATTCCCTCAAAACCTTTTCCAGATTTCTTCCTCACTTCTTGATTAAACCCCCTATGTATTAGGCCATTCTTGCATTGCTGTAAGGAAATGCCCGAGACTGACTAATTTATAAAGAAAAGAGGTTTAGCTGGCTCACAGTTCTGCAGGCTGTACAGGAAACACAGTGATGGCATCTACTCAGCTTCTGGGGAGGCCTCAGGAAGCTTACAATCATGGCAAAAGGCAAAGGTGGGGGGCAGGCACATCATATGATAGAAGCAGGAGCAAGAGAGAGAGAGAGTTGGGGGAGTTACCACACACCTTTAAGTGACCAGATCTCATGAAAACTCACTATCATGAAGACAGCACCAAGCCATAAGGGATCAACCCCTAGGACCCAAACACCTCCCACCAAACCCTGCTTCCAGTATTGGGGATTACAATTCAACATGAGATTTGGCCAGGGACAAATATCCAAACTATATCACCCTACGTATAGGTATACTGCCTACAACAGTAAAATCGTAGTTGTACATTATTTTGTTGCTTGTTGGGGGACTAGGAAAGAGAAAGGGGTAATCACATACTCAGTTAATAATACGGTATTATTAGAACAATTTTGTTTGTTTGTTGTTTTTATTTATGACCCTGTGTGTATATTGCAACATGCACATATATTACTAGTAAAGACAGAGTAATAGGAACTAAATGAATAGGGAACAAGAGTGGAAGGAAGACTTTTCACTCTAGTTTTTTTTGTGATATTTGATGTTTGGGTCATGTGAATTTATTAGGTATTCAAAAAATTTGGAAACAGAGAGGAACATCAGATGCATCAATATTATCTTAGTAGGAATCCAGAAGAAGAAAGTAGATCAAATGGCGCCAAGCAATTGAGTAGATAATGGCTGTCTTAGTCAGTTCAGGTTGCTATGACAGAGTACCGTAGATTGTGTGGCTTAAACAACAAACATGTATTTTTCGTAGTTCTGGAGACTGGTAGTCTGAGAAGGGCATTCCCGCATGATCAGGTTCTAGTGAGGGCCTCTTCCTGATTCACAGATGACTGCCTTCTTGTTGTATCCTCACATGATAGACAGAAAAAGATCTGGTTCCTAGAGCTCCTTATAAGGGCAGTAATTCCATCATGGATTCTGCCCTCATGACCTCATCTAACCCTAATTTTCTTCCAAAGGAACCACCTCCAAGTACCATCACATTTGGGATTAAAGTTTCAACACATGAATTTTGGGAAGACATACTGAGCCCATTGTGATGGCTGAGGTTTCCCAGAACTGAAACAAGATATAAGTTTCCAGATAGAAAAATCTGCTGATGAACAAGATAAACTTTTTAAAATATAATTTTTAAAATATCCTTAATGTAATGAAGTCTCAAAAAAAAACAAAAACAAAAATATTAAAATTATAAGGAGCAAGAATTATCTTAACATCAAGTTTCCTATCAACAATTTTGGGTACCAAAAAGACAATAATGTCATACCCTCAAAGTGCTGAAAAGCACTTTGAACTCAGAATTGTATATCCCTACTCTAACTCAATACTGAGAGTTAAATATGGATATGGATATTTTAAGACTCATGATAATTCACAGTTACCACCTACCACCTTGCAGAATTATGAAAGCACATAGAAAAAATGAAATTAAAAGTAAGTAGAAGAATGCAAGAAACAGCAACTCTTAATTTTCGGGAATGTCTGATTAGAAGAAATATACACCATTATGTAAGGCTTAAAAAGTTAACTGAGTAATTTTCTGGGATTCATGTTTGACCAGCTTACAGTGAGACCGTTTTATTGCTGACAAAGATAAGAAAGATCATAATCACTAGTATTTATTAAATATTATATATGCCAAGTATTCTTTTAATTGCTTGATATATAAGAACTCATTTAGTCATTATAGCAATATGACAAAAGCAGTTTTTTCTTTAATTTTCACTGAGAGAAAACTAGAGCAAAAAGAAGCACCACGGTTGGCCTCTGGTTAAGCTACTTGTAGGTGTTACAACTGGGATTTGGAGGCAGAGAGTCTAAGTCTTGAGGCCACTTCTTTAGCTACCATGTTCTAGTGGGTCAAGCATCCCTGCCTGCCATCGAAGGGACTGTGGTACATTTCCAGGATCCAGCCACACTCCTGCAGCCAGACTCTGTTGTTCAGACCCCCAGCCTATAACTTGCCTTATTTCTCAGGTCTTCAATTATGTCCTTCTCCGCCTCTGACTCACTCAAAAGCATTCACTGCTATTAGAAGCAAACACCCGTAGAAGGAGCCATCTTTTGTTTCCCCTCCTGCTCTTGCACCCAGTCCATCTTCCATCTTCACTGCTTGCAACTGTCAGCTCAATGACTGAGGCCTTCTTCTGTGTCTGGACCACTGGACTTGGTCATTAATCCTGGTGTCCTTAATGTTTAGACACTGGTTTCCCCAAAGGACTCTAACTTAGACTATTCTGAATTGCTATGTCTTTGCTGCTGTGAGAAAGCAGCTCTAATCCATTTTTCATATAACCCCATCCCACTCACCCTCAACACTGGGTCTTTTTGAATGAAGGTGGTTATGCCTTGGATCCTTCATCCTGTCTATTTTTTCTGAGTTCTCACAAGTGAGTCATGGTGCTTAACTCCTAGGTATCAAGGTATAATAGGTCTGTGATCTGCAGACCTAATGAAATGACAACAAATGTATTGTTGTTTGGAAGCAGGTTTATTTATTATATACTTGCAATTGAATATAAGATACAGACATATGTATGTGGTATGTATTGCTAGAAATGCATATAACATATATTTGCCTATTGTTTAATGTTTTTTCTAGATATTTATTCTATAGAAGGACATGGAGGGATACCTACTTATTCTTCATTATAAGAACAAGTAAAGGCATTTTTTAGATAGGAAATTAACTGATCATCTGCTTCTATAACTTTATTAGCTACATTCAATAGACAGTGAGCAATAATTTAAAAACTCACCATTATATAAAATAATAAATAACAAAGTAAAAGTTAATGTTATAAAAATAAACTGAGAGTAAGGAAAATCTAAAAGGGCTTCATCCCATTTTAGAAGACCAAATGATTAATGGGGTTGTCATGTTATAATAGACAATTGTCTAATTATTTCCGTGTTTTTATTTAGTGTGTAGCAGAAGTTGTTCAGAAGAACAGAAATATGTAGAAAACATCTCTACATTTTTGGCAATTTGAAATAGCAATTCTGAGGCACACAGCTCATCTACAAAAATCTTTTGCAGAAACAGCACGTTTTGGTTTTAGGGTGAGGAAAATTTGCCAAAAAATAAAATGCACTTGGTTATTTTATGCATAATAAGGAAAAGAAAAGGATGATCTGCCACAAACTGTGGGCCTCCATGACCGGTTCTCCCTGACATAACGCCTCCTGTGCCAGCGGCTGCTTCAGTGCCCTCCTCATTCACGTCCACCATGGCTTGGTGGAACACTTCAGAAAGAAACAAGTCATTCCACTCCGACATCCCTGAGAAATTGGCCTGTCCCTTGTCGAAGGCGTCCTCCATGCCCATGCTTCTCAGAATGGATTTGAGTTCATAATGCTCTTCTAATTTGAACTGGGGTATATATACCTCAACATCATCTTCAACCATTTTGTCTTTGCTGGTCCACTTGTTGAGTTTGTCATAGGTTATTTCACTTTCCAGCTGCAAAGCAAAACAAAACAAAGCAAAGAAAATACAGCAAGTATTAGAACAGAAGGAAAACAACTTTAAGTCTAATATTAAAAATCAGTGACTTTATTGTGGGTGATATAAAAAGTTAACAGATTGGTCAGGTTTTTACAAGAAGGTAATATGTATGACATAGTTAAGGCTTTGAGTGAAATATAGAGGTATGCCACATTTACTATCAACTGTTTCATATATTTCCGTGAGAAATTACCACACCATTTGTAAGGAGTATATATTCATCTCACGAAAGGTAGGTTTAGCCCCAGAAACTTGAATATCTCAATGTCTTACCAGTTCCAAGCCAGTGGACACATCGGCAATTTCATCTGGAAGCAACAGGAACATGCTAACATCTCCAGCATATGGGAGTTCTAGAATCTGAGCCTTCAGGTTTTCTATGTATCCAATGTTTAGCTTTTCACGCAAGTACATCATCTGTACAGGTGTGTGCTGAGTCTAATATTATTAAAAAGTAAAATATGGAAGTTGGTCATAAGATATCAAGAGATTTAAAATTAGACATAAAGGAGGATGGGTTCTACTTTAGTGTTGGATAAATGTGGTTTTTTAATCAACAAAATAAACTATTTGTACATCCTTAGTGGGTACTCTGATATTATTAGCTCGTTCAACTTTATACCCTTTATTTAGTAAGATGGACAACAATGGTAATGACAACCATAATTATAAAACACTTGTTTAGTTGTTACTATGGGCCAGGAACTCATGTCTCAATATTTACAGCCCTCTGAACTAAGTGGTAGAGTCAACGTTTGAGTCTGGGCATGTATAACTAAAAAGCCATGGTCTTCCCCTCTACCTCTACTGTTTCTTGAAAGAGTCCAATACTTTTAACTAGCACGTCATGTAGGAAAATGAATGAGTGGTCTCTAATTTTTCTGTCTGTATCTTGTCAAAGGCCCTAAAATATACTAGGAAGATATATTTTGTTGTCTCATACCGAGTTCACACGGAAAGGATAAAGCCCATTTAGTTTCTTCTCAAATGGAGTTTTCCACTTTCCTTTGAAGTAGACAGCATTCACCAGGACCATCCTGGTATCCCCATCTACAGAACCTTCAGGTAACAAGTTTAGGATCTTGCCTACAGAAAACATAACATATATTTAGGTTTCATAATCAAGAACTGTGAAATTTACTTACTGAATCTTCCGAGTAGCCATCAAACTAAATTCATCAAATTGCAGAGATGTTGATCTTCAAGCTCAAGTTTTTCTTTAGATTTATTTAAAGCAAAATTAAAATTGAGACAAATTTCTCAAAAGGCTTGCAAAATCCAAGAAAAAATGAAGAAATAACGTATTTAAAAGTTAGACCTCCTATCAAATTTGGAAAGGAGATTTTCACTTCCTTTTATAATACTTACTCAAATCTTTGCAGTTGAAAGTTTTCAAGTAAGAAGGAAGTGAAAGAGAGGCTCTCAAGGAATATTATAGTGCCTTTCCAAAATATATCATGTACTGCAAGATCTGGTCTAGACAGTCTGAGAATCTGACTCACTCGTTTATTCAAAAACATTTTTTTAAAAATATGCTGCACCTAAATTAAGAATAGTGCAGATAAAAGAGATGAGAAAGGAATAATTATCCTGGATGAGCCTAGAACACTGGGAGAGACATTCAAAATCAGTTGTGGAACCCTGTGTGATAACTTCTGTAATTGAGCTAAATAATATAAGTACTATGACCATACAGAGAAGGGAGTGAAGGAGTGAGTCCGAGAAGATTGATAGAAACAGTGACAACTGAGTGTGATCATTTAAAAAAATGAAATTGGCTTAAGAAGCAGTCTGCTTATAGTTAGTACTTGCTCTGCAGTATTCCAAGCATCAAAATATATTATTGTGATATTCTATTAGGTGGGTTTTATTAGTGTCATTTTATTCCAAAGGACACCACTAGGTTAGCAGTATTCCCAAGGTTATGATGCTGGTAAGCTTGTAAAAATTCTGCCTCCACAGTCAAAACTACTGACAAATACAAGACTCTTAACAAATTAATAGCTCAATGTGGTTTTGAAGTAGGAGGTGGGACCTGACTCTGGAGGCATGGTTTAGACACCAGACCAAACTGAGGGCTAGCTAAAACAGGGACCAGGGACAGGGTGGAAGCAGTGTGCCATGTCAATTTACCATTGTGATGGCAACACCTTGGAGTTACCACCTCTTTCCGTGTCCGTGGCAATGACCTGACGACCCAAAAGTTACTCTCCCTTCCCTAGAAATTTCTACATAAACTGCCCCTTAATCTACATGTAATTAAAAGTAGGTATAAATATGACTGCAAAACTGCCCTGAGCTGTGCCTCTCAGCACAGTGCCTGGGGTAGCCCTGCTCTGCAGGAGCAATCATGGAGCTCTAACATTGCCACTTCAGTAAAGCTGTTTTCTTCTATCCTACCTCCAGCTCACCCTTGAATACTTTCCTGGGTGAAGCCAAGAACCCTTGAAGGCTAAGCCCCACTTTGGAGCTTGCCTGACTTGCATCAGTTTCACCTTCAATGTATTCATTTAATAGACACATTCAATATATTTCCCAAGCTATTAAAATTTTTGGTTAGTATTGGGGTATAGTAATATGTGATGTGTATGATAAAACTAGTATTCAATCATAACATAATGAAACAGACAATTCTCTCCAATTCTTACAAAAGCTGGTAAAACAATCTGCCAAAATAGCTCCTTGGCATCTTGGCAAAATAACTGATTGACTTACAGCCATTTAGCACAATGTCTAAAGAGAAAAACAACTCATGCCGTTCTTTAAAGAACGCAAAACTTCCATTTGTCTCTTTAATTTTGTTCTCCATTTTGACTGAACTTTTGTTTATTTAAATCATCTTTCTCTGCTTCCTTTATATCAATGGTCTGTCGATATTTTAGAACAGTATTTCAAAATCCACAGTGAAAATGAAGAACTGAAAGGAAATCAATTATTTTCAGATAAACAGAAAAATGTATATTTTTAAAATCCCATAGAACTTAGTTTATGTGCATTTTCCATTGTGGTAAGTAATAAACCAAGACACCAAACTATTTCTTGAAACAATGTCTTAAACATAAAAGTTAAATGAAAATCCTTAAAAAAATAAGTTATTAAAATCTTATAAACCATACAAGAACATAAAATTTTATTATATAGTCATTGCAGAACATTGTATGTGACTAAGAGAAGTCACAATGC